CCTGCCTATAACTGGAGCACCTGAGAGTCAGGAAGGAGGAGGTTTGTGAGTTCCGCATCAGCCTGGGCTACAGAGCAAGACACTGTCACAAGACACACACCTACACAAAAATAAGTATTCCATGGCAATTGTTAAAGAAAATAAATTATTGTTTTCAAAACTTTAGGTGTTAAATTTAAAACATTTTTCTTCTAGACAGAAAAGGATGGAATATTCTGTTATCTGGAGCTTAAAATCCAATAAAAACATGACACTGGCCATTTGACAAGCTGTTTGAGTTCCTATTGTTTTCTGATACTGGAGAGTCTCATGTACTGGGAGCAAAGGTTATATTGCCCTGCCCATCCAAGCACTCTGCATCTGCTCCCAAGCCTCCTGAGCTTACTGCTCTAGGCATCTTCTAGTTGCACATGTGTTCATCAGTGCTGGTGACCATCCTCATGACAAGCCAGTCAGTCTTATAAAGGATTGTATAAAGGGAGTAATGGTGTGAGAAACCTGTATCTTCATCAGACTCCAAGTCCCTCAAATTTGGAACTTTGAATTTGTTCACAATGGGACCAAAGAAGGAAAACCAACCTCCCTCCCTCCCTCCCTCCCTACCACCCTCCCTCTCTCCTCTCCTCTCTCTGTCTCATGACTCTCTCTCCTCCATGTTTTTCTCTGTCCTTCTCTTCTTTCTCCCACCCTTTCACAGCCCTCTGTTTTTCTCCTTCCCTTTCTATCTCTGTCTTTCTAGTTAGGAATCACATTTATCTAAAAGACCACATGAAGGAACAGGTTTTTTTTTCTGTTTCACTTGAAATCTCAAGACTGTATATTCAGCAGGGTTGGAAACTATTATTACTTTTTAAAATATTTTATTTATTATTTTTATTTAAGTGCACCCAGGTAATGCATATGCTCGTGGAGGACAGAGGAGGCTGTAAGATCCCCTGGAACTGGAGTTAGGACAGTTATTAGCTGCCATATGGGTGCTGGGATTAGAACTCTTGTCTTCTGCAAGAACAACCAGTGTTCTTAACCACTGAGCCACCTTGCCAGCCCCAGAAAAAAAACTATTATTAGTTTAATAAGAAAATTTTATTATATTAAGTTCTATATAATAGATGATTAATAGATCGGTGAATAATAATAAATATTAAACGATGTAAAACTAAAATTATAAAATTTAAGAGTTCAGAGCTAGTTTAAAAAAATGAAAACAAAAATCTAAAAATGAAAAGATAGAAAGAAACAGTGTTCAGCTGTAGCAATTGACAATCTGTCATCTGCAAATTAACAGTAGAAAGCGGCTTAACTTATTTCGTGAAGAAAAAAGTGGATATATTGGAACTGTTTTGAAGAAAGTTGTGGTTCATCTCTGAAGCAGGAAGGAAAGCACCAATAAACTCTCTGAATGGCAGCAGCTCATACCTTTGTATTTGCTTAGATTTCAACTCCAGTCATAGAAATCACCACTGTGAGCTATGCCCTCTCAGAGTATGAAGGGCAGTACACACCTTAATATACAGTATGAAATTGGTCTTTAAAGAATAAAGGATAATTTCATGATCCAAGAAACAAGGAATTTATCTAAAGGGGACACCGTATCAGAACTAATGCCTGCTGACAGCCAGAAATTCAAAGTAGGAACACAGTAGGAAACTTTGTGACAGGGCCATTAGCCCTTCTGATTTAACATCCTAACATAAAGATTCCGAGTAGGAAGCATTCTTTCAATATATACTTTTAATTGAAAATTAAGAAATATATAACATTCTCTTCTCAACAAACATTCTTAAAAGCTTTTGGATATCAATGCTAGCTCCTGCAAAATAAAATGGTAAAAGACCAGGAGTTTGTATATGACTCCAAATGAAACTGTGATGAAACTTACAATTATGCTTACATCACTTTTTTTTTTAAGATGAGAATTTTTTCAATACTTAAAGAGATGACTAAGTTGGCAAAGTGCCTGCTGCACAAGCATGAGGACCTGAGTTTGGATTCCTAGCACCCATGTAAAGCCAGGAGTGGCTCAGGATGCCTGTAGCCCTAGCACTTGGGAAGGGCTACAAGGCGGTAAGATAAGTGGATTCCAGAGGCTTGTTGACAACCAGTCTTCCTGAAACAGTGAGCTCTAGATGAGTGCCAAACTATGTCTCAGAATAAATAGTGGAAAGAGAAAGATACCCAGAGCCTACTTCTAGCCTCCAAACGTGCACTCACTCACACATGCCCATGCAGGCATAAACTACAGAGAGAGAGAGAGAGAGAGAGAGAGAGAGAGAGAGAGAGACAGAGAGAGACAGAGACAGAGAGACAGAGACAGAGACAGAGAGAGCACAAAACCCCACAAATGAAGTACAAGAGTACAAGATTGTTCAGGGCAGTTTGTCCACTGACATGCACAGAGCCTGAAATGCCTGTCAGGGCCACCTTCCTGGCCGGCAAGCCTAGCCTTTGAAACCAGTTTTGAGAGCCCGACTGTGCTCTTACTTAAACACTGCAAGAGTCTTTCAACACTGCATGAAGCTGTCTGTTTCCAGACGCAAAGAGGCAGAGAAGATCCCTTTGTTATATAACTTTACGGGAACTCCCAACTCCATGACTGCTAAGACACATCATCAATTGTACTTCTTTACATTCCAAGTTGATTTCTCCAACTCTGTCTTCCAATGTCAAAGAATTTTAATTTTCTAACTGCCATTCTTCTTAAGTGAATGAGAAATAAGAGGCATATTTTCTTGTGAACCATATAATTGGAAATTCAAAATATATAAGAGCGTCACATTTGTAATACTTGCTGTCTTCTATAGTTGTGTTTGTTCCCATACAGCTCAGGTACTTACAGATCTTAACGATTACATGCTCTTCCTTGAACTTCTTTTCCCGCCCTCAACCATCCAGATTCCCAACATACACATTCAACTTTGCAAGGTAAACAGGTGAGGAAAAGGATGAGACTTTAGGGTAAAGGTTTTCTGTTTTACAGCAGATAAGTAATTTTCCTGAATTATGAATGAAACCTCTAGATACATAAAAAATAAATGAATAAATACTTTAAATACAGCATTCTCTCTCATTCAAAAGAACTCCATTGCACAATCCAAACTGCTAAGTTCCAACTGCCAACAGACTAAAGGAAATTATACCACCAGGGAATTTAATGGATTCATGCCAAAGCTGGGTTTCAATAAATAAATAGAACACAGGTCAAAGTTACACACAGGGCAAAGTCATACATATTCTTTATCTGTACAATGCACATCTAGTTTGAACAGATATTTTGTGTCTAGTGCTTATTTTGGATTATTAAAACTTTTTAAAGTTCTAAACTTGAGGATGCTGACATGACTGGTCTCATTCCCCTAATATAAGGTACCAAAAAGAATTTGAATATTTTAGATTCTGAGCATTTCTTGAAATTGTCTGCACTAAAGGTAGAAATATTGTTGGACATGAAGGATCACCACAAGACCTGTCCTTTCCATGAAAAGAGAAGATCAGTACTCTGATCTTTCTACCAAGTATAAGCTGCACAGTCCAGCTGTTACTATCAGTTCCATGGTCACTATCTTCATCTTATTTCATTTGACACATACCAAATGCCACTTAATAATATGAACCGGTTACTATGCCTTCTAAGATTCATGATTTATACTTTAGACCCAGGCAGTAGAAGTATGGATTTATTTTTTAGTATGTTATCTTTGCCTCTTCTATAATCTTAGGGCATTGGCGACTTATCAGTGACATGAATGGCATATGGACATACATCTCTCCTAATGTACAAATCTCTTAATGCTACATCATCAATTAAAAACAAAAAATAATCCTATGCTATTTGGTTATAGGTGGAGAAGAAGTGATCCTTTAATTTCATTTATTAGAAATCATCTTTTCACATATTTCTCAATTAAATTTAATTTGATTTCTCTGTGTATAAGCACAGCCCTGGGGGGGGAGGTGCCTATCCCTCTGCATTCTCTAATAGTGGCTGCTCCCCACAGGGATAAGCTGCAAATAAACTAGGGTTATATAGTAAGATGTCTGAAGCTCTGTTCCATTCATTTATCTGATTTCCAGGCTAACTATGCTATTACTTAAATACATAACTCTAAAGGTCAAGAAAAAAAAGTTCTTTGCCATGATAGCAACATGATAATTACTGGCTTCTCATCAATAACATAGCCTACTACTGAAGAGAAAAGTCTTACTATCAAAAATGGCTTTGATTTTGGACCCACTACTATTCAATAGTTGGGGGACATAGAACAATTGCTTCCTCTACAAAATGTTGACGGCGATCATGCTTTCCCATGGCATGACAAAAGATTGGCTCAGGCAGCATATAAAAGGCATTTAGCATATCTCCTACTACAACAGCAGCCATCATTTACTGCTCTTAATGGTCGTGTAACTTATATAATTGTTTGAAGATTACAATAATAATTTTATATATTCAAGTTACTATTAATTGGTCTATATATCTCAATTTTATTCAGAAATACTTTAAAAATGTGGTTTAGTAGCTTGTTGAA